GGTGGGGCCTCCCCACACCATCAAAATCATACCTGAGCAGTTTCGACGGCCATGCATGGAAGCCACCTCCTTTTTGATCTTATAGCTACCAAGCAGAGAAGAAAACCCTGGCACCTCTCTCATCTTTATCCCTACCACCAGGGGAAGGTGAGAGGGAGGCCAGGAGAGATTTCAGGGCCAACCTGGCTCTCCCACGCACCCTCAGATGCCTCCCAGCCACCCTGGGCATCAGCAGTTAGGACCCCAGGGCTGGAGCACTAGTCTCCTGACTCCTGTCTGCGTGCGTTCCTGCTCACAGACCTTGTCCAAACCAACCCTCCCCGCCACCACTCGAGTCTGCTTCACAGAGACATATTCTGAATCTCCCAGATTCACCAGCCTTGTGAATCTCTCTGTCCTAAATTCTCCATTTGTGTGAAGATAGGGACCCTAAGGTCCAGAAATTTTGTGTGATCTCAGTACCACACAGCATACTTGAACGTGAGCCCCTGAGTTCCTAGTTTTCCAGATTGTCCCAGCTCTTCCTGCCTTATCTCCCCAAACTACCCAAACCTTCCCTCTCACTTCCAAGCATAGACAACCCCTCTGAGACCCCCAAGCCTCAGAAGTTCTGGAGTGGGGTTCACTTCCCCTCTTTCTGCACCTTGTCCCTGGAGTGGCCTTAGAAGCCCTTCACCAGGTGGTCAGCCCTCTGGGGTGAGGGCTGGCAGCGTGATGCCTGAAATGCTGCACACTCCCTCAGGCCTTCCGAGATGCCTCTGCCTCAGCTGCGAAACCAAGACCTGACCAAAACCATCTGCTGTAGGACACCCCCCGCTTGCCTCTTGCCTGACATGTGTTCTGAGAATCCTCTCCAGAGGTCCCCATCAGAGTAGAGCTCTCGCTCCCTGGGCCTCCCCCCACCCCAGCTCTGCTGCAGCATTTATTCCTTCCTGCCTCTGTGTGTGTGTGTGTGTGTGTCCCCACGCTAGGCCGTGGGCTCCATGTGGGTATGGATCGTATCTTGCTTTCTTTTTTGTCTCCAGTGCCTGGCACAGAGTAGGTGTTCAAAACTGCGCTTCTTAAATTTCATTGAACCCAAGGTTCAGGGAAACTGGGGGCCACCCACCTGGACTCCAGGCTGCCCAACTGTGATAGGAGCTCCAAGACCAGCAGACGAAGAGGAAGGAACCGGGTTGCTCAGCCCCTTCCTTCTCAGTGCACGTGCTGCCGTTTTCAGGTCTCTCCATCCCCAGCCTGGCCCTGCCTGGCTGAGAAGATGAGCAGACACATAGCATATCTGTGCTGGTGACCTGTCTCTTGCATGAGTTTATTTAAGGCCCAGTTGCGGGGGAAGTCCTCTTCTCCTCCCCTCCATCTCAGCTCTGAGTGCTTGGGCCTGGGCTGGGCTCAACTGGAAAAAGAACACAGGGGCCCAAGAGAGCAGACCCAAGACAATCCGGTCTTCCTTAGGAGCCCAGAGATCCAAGCGCCCACAGCAGCAGAAGAGCTAGGTCAGCAGTGCGTTGAAATTGCTCTAAGAACAAAGCAATAAAGAACTTTCCAGCTGGGAAGCTGGTGGGCAGCAAGGCTGCTCCCAGCTCTTTTGGGAGGTTGGCTCCAACGCTTCTGCCTGAGGGCCACTGCTGTCCCTTCTCAAGCCCTGCCGGGGCCTGTCCTGGAACAGGTCAGAGCCTTCCTTGGGGACCCCTAGTGGCCTGCTGCCCCAGGGAGACACCCAGAGCATGTGAAATGTCCTCTGGAAGCAGAGCCAATCAGTGGGTGGCTTGCCGGAGGCAGGGCCGTGGCCAGGGTGGCCTGTCCAGCACCCCTGGGCCCAGGACAGTTAGCCTTGCGAGGTGGGGCCCCAGGGATGGGCTGCAGGGGTGCACGCCTCGGGGAGGACCTATGTTGGGAAGCAGCGCTGCCATCCCCAGCCTGGACCGTCCTGCGGCCAGCTGGATGACTCAGGTCCTGCCGACAGGTCTGGATGTGCTGCGGCAGGTCCAGCCTCCCCTCCCTCCCCTCTCCTGTCTCAGCACTCCAGGTGGAGGCCAGGCCTCCTCCTTCCCGCTCCGCTGGCAGGGTGGCTGCCACCGCCGGTCACCTTCTCAAGCCCTGCCCCATAGCAGGTTAGAATCCTCCTCCGTGGGGGACCCCAGCTGGCCCAGCAGCACCCCGACAGGCATCTGCCTCAGGGAGAGTGGCAACCTGGAGGGCAGGCGCCCACATTTCACATCTTCTCTGAGCATCACGAGCGCCCTGCCCCTTGGCCAGCCTAGGCGTCCTTATTTCAGACGAGGAGACAGAAGCCTGTGACCTCACAGCTGGTGCTGAGTAGTTGAATGTCCATTTAAACCTGAGGTTGCAGATGCAGGTTCTCAAGTTCACACCTGGGCCCACAGTCTGGGGGAGGCAGGGCCCCCCCACACTCACAGGACCTGGGCCAGGCAGGCCTCACCTAGTCCTGTCTCAGGCTGGGGCCTGATTCCTTGGGACTGGATTTGTCTATAGGTCTTAGGGTAAAGGTGTCTGGAATAAGCAGGTTCTCAGTTACCAGGGAAGGGGAGCTGTGAGCTCCCCTACTGGGCCTTCAGGAGTTGAAGGCCAAGACCTCCTCAGTCACCCTCGGCTGGGCTTGCATCTGTGGGGTCTGCTGTAGACGTCTCTTGAGCAGCTCTATACTTGAACATCCCTTGACTTCTGGAAGGAGGAGTCATAACTGCCTAGGGTTAGTTCTTTATCATGTTCTAGGCACCAGACTGAGGTCCTGACACACAGAATGTCTTCTCCCGTGCACCCCAAGCCTGCGAGCCAGGTATTGTTTGCGTTCTGATGGGCAGAGGAGAAGGCTAACGGAGGCCCCGGGGACCTGGTCTAACCTGAGTGGTGGTGCTGGATTTGAGCCCAGGGCTGCAGGCCCCAAAGCCCAGGCTCTTACAGGGAAAGCTGACATCACTTGAGGGCCCTGCCACACGGATCCAGCAGGCGCCCTGGCTAAAGCTCGCCCCCTCTTCCACCCAGGGCTCCAGGTCTGTCCTCCCCTGGCCGTGGAATCATCCTTGAGTAACCCTGCGTGGTGAGGGTTAGGTGGCCGCCCTCTGCCTTGTACTGTCAGAGGCCTTTGGCCTTGGCCCAGGCTGCACCTGCTGCAGCTCCACGGTTTCCATGAGGCTGGCACAGCAAGCAGGCCGGCTCCAGGCCAGCCAGGTGCCTGCTAAGTGCTGTTGGAGCCGCGACCCCAGGCAGTTCTGCCCCCACCCTGGGTGGTTAAGGCCACGGGAATGTGCCAGCCAGGCCGAGCCCTCCAAACTCCAGTGTGGGGCTTGGGGCTGAGAGGACACATGACCTGGGACAAAGGCTGCCTGCTCTGCAGTCCAGAGGATGGTGGACCCTGATTCAGCGTCTCACCTGGTGACCCCTGGTGGGTGAGGCAGAGAGCAACTTGTCCACTGTTTACAGAGAACAGAGAGGCTTGGACAGAAACACAGAAGGGCAGCAACTGTCAGAAGAAGGAAGCTCAACTCCTGCTCAGGCTGGGCTTTGCGCGAAGCCCCTTGTCACAAAGGGGCCAACATAAGGTCGCTAGTTCCTCTTTTTCGCAGAAGATGTCTCTGTAGCTGGTGCCATCCCCCTCTCCTCAGGCTGTTTGCTTTGCGGCCTCAGGATCTGCTGAGAATGCCCCCCCACTTCCCTCCTCCCGCTCAGCGTGGACTGTGGCTGGCAGTGACATTGAGGAGCCAGTGCAGAAAAGGCACCTGACCTTGGGGAGGAATGTGTGAAATGTTGGCAGCCCGGAGCAGCCACCCCCCAGCTGGGGCCCAGGAATGCGGGTTCCTGGCCCAGCAGCCCATGGCCCCCAAGGGAGGTGCACGTGTGGCTGGAAGAGAAGGTGGGTGCAGGGCCCAGGAGCAGGAATGGCATTGCTGGAAGGCCCTGCAAGGTCACCGGTGAACCCCCCGCCTGGTTACAGAAGGTGAAGGTGAGCCGTCTGGCTGCCCTCCTGGAGGTGCCAGCCCAGCACCCACTCTGATCCAACCAGGGGCACAGTCCCTGGCCCCTAAAGGCCCCTGCAGCCCACGGCCATGGGTACAGCTGTGACTTGAATTCTGAGACCTACTGAACCACAGATGTCAGAGCCCTTCATCCACCCTTGTTACAGATGCGGAAACAGGCCCAGAGAGACGGGGCCTGGCCACGGGAGCACTGACTATGAGCCAGGTCTCGGGGTGGGGGGTGGTGGATGCCTTCACTACACCCCTCCCACTTCCATGAAGCCGGGGGGGTCTCCTGCTCACAAGGGGACTCAGGTGGGCCCACCAAGCTCCCACAGGTTTCCAGCTGGGAATCCAGCGCCTTCCGTGGCTGCCCTTCCCTGTCAAGGCAGACACTGAGGGCTTGGTCTCTATGCTCTGACTCCCGGTGAGCAGGTGAACCTCTGCTCAGGATACACAGCATGAATAAGGCCAAGCCAACTCCAACCGATGCTCCTCTCTGGGACTGAAACCCAAGCAAGTGCTGGGTAAGGACACTGTTGCCCTCTTGTGGCCGTGCCTGGGCATGACTGCCGTCCTCCGCGCCTCCAGTGGCTTCTGTCCAATTCCCCTCCTCCTAGAAAGCAGTGGGGGCGAGACAGGGTGGGCACCATCTCACCCCCCATCACCGAGGCCAGCGCTTCGGCTGCAGAAAGCAATCGGGAAGGCTGGATCTGTCCGATGCCAGATCCGAGAGGAAGGAAGAAGGTCTCGGGCCCACAAGTGAGGCCTAGTCTGTGTTACCCAGAACACTTGAGGGTTGGGAGCGACTCAGTGGTTTCCACGGAAACAGCCTAATGACCAGGGCTAGACAGGGTAGTTTGAAAATCTGGAGGATTTATTTCTCGGGAAGGTCCACAACTGGCAGGCACTCCCCTCCCCTGTTCCTGGGGCTCTCTCTCCCTTGGTGAGAGATCCCCTCTCTTCTCAGAAGTGCCCGGGGGAGACTGGGATGTGCCGAGAAAACATACACAACACTCCAGAGCCTTAAAAAAATACAGCCACAACGACCTCCCCCACACGAGTACACACATACAAAATAAACAGACGTATAAAAGAGGCTGGAGGGCAGCTCGGGGAGCGGGGCTGGGCGGCCCGACCCCAGCCCCAGCCGGGACTACCCAGAGCTAAATTGACAGAAGTGCCCCACGGCCAAGACGCAGCCGTGGCTTCAGAGAGGGGACCCGGGAGGCGGGCAGGGGACCTCTCCCTGGAGCTCAGGACAAGGTACCAAGGAACAAACAAACAAATAAATAAATAAAGCCCTAAGAGCTTGGGCTGAGGCTTGGGGCCCCTGGGGGCCTTCTTCCCTGAAGAGCAGATCCAGTGACAGGCAGAAAGAAGAAGAAGGAAAACACAAATCCAAAGCCACATCCACCCGGCCTGCAGAGCCGCATCTTCAGATCCCAGAAGGGCCCCACCCAGAACCCAGCTCTGGAGGAGGGAGGGGTGAGCTGGGGAGCCTCCTGGGCCAGGGAGGCCCCCCTTGCTCCTGCCTTCATCCCCATCATCTCGCTGGAGCTGTCTCCAGCGTGGGCTCCCCCCCCAGGAAAGCTCTCTTCCTGACCCCAGGCATCTGCATCAGCTGGGAGAAGTCCTGCTGTGACTGTAAACGATCCAAAAAATCCATCCGGTCCTTGGCCACAGGCATCTCCCCCACCTCCCGCAGGGATAGACACAATGCTCCCTTCAGGCGAATGGGGAGAAGGCATCAGACAGAAGAAGCACACACAGAGAAGGGGGCAGAAGTCGCCAGGACAGACAGTTTGGGCAGGAGGTCAAACTGGACACGTGAAGACGCCCCACAGATTCAGGAGCCCCAGGGTCCCCCCTGGAGCAGCAGGGGCCAGCGGGGAGCTGGGGGGAGCACGGGGCCCTCAGCTGGGCAGCAGCACGTGCTCCAGGAGGTAGGTGAGGGAGTCCCAGTGCTTCCAGAGCAGGAGGAGGACGAGGGCCAGGAGGGCGGTGCTGGAGACGCGCAGGCGGGTCTTCACGAGCGGTGTGATGAAGCTGGCCACGGTGGACACGAACACCAGCAGCACGGCCATGAGCGCCAGGATCACGTTGATGAACTTGCCCAGCAGCGCCCGCGCGTTGGCGTTCTCCACGCCCTCCAGCTGCACCACCTGCTGCTGCTGCTGCTGCAGCTCCAGCTTGGTGACCCGGGTCAGGCAGGACTCCACGGCCTCCTGCAGGGACACAGGGGCGGGGAGGTTAGGGCGGGGAGACCTCCAGTCTGAACCCCACCTGCCCCTCGGGAGGTGACGATGCCCAGGGCACCCCCCTCCAGAGGGTGGTCAGCTGCAGCTAGGGGCCCCAGTCCTTTAATGCTGACTATCTGGAGAGGCTGATGGGAAGCAGAAGTCTTGACTAAGGGGAAGGGGCGGAAGCAGCCCACCCCCAGCTTCCTCTCGGGGCCGTGGTACCTGGATGTCCCGGGCCCTCTCATAGGACTGGTAGGCCACCTTCTCCTCCATGCTGGCCAGCTCCTGCTTCAGGTTGGTCATCTCATTCTGGTGAAGTTCAGTCAGGTCATTGAGCTGTTCCTCCAGCCGCTCGTACCTGGCAGAGGGAAAATGTGTGACACCAGCCCTGGCTCCCCAAGTCTCCCATCTCCTCCACCAGGGTCAACTTCACTCATTCTCAACAATGACTCAATGTGTCCAGCCCCCTCCAATTTTAATAGCAACAAGAAAGCTAATATGTACACCGCGGGCTTCCCAGGTTGCGCTCGCTCGTGGTAAAGAACCTGCCTGCCAGTGCAGAAGACATAAGAGATGTGGGTTCGATCCCTGGGTCGGGAAGATCCCCTGGAGAGGGAAATGGCAACTTACTCTAGTACTCTTGCCTGGAGAATCCCATGGACAGAGGAGCCTGGTGGGCCCCAAGTCTGTAAGGTCGCAGAGTTGGACAAAACTGAAGCAACTTAGTACACACATGTATACACACAGCCTTTCTTAGAGATGGGCTCTGTGCTAGGCACTTTAGCCACATTATCTCCTAAGATCCTGCTCACGAACTTTCAAGATAAGGACTGCTATCATCTGCATGTTACAAACTGATGCACAGAGAGATTGGGGAACTTGCCTGAGAGCACAGAGCTCATGAACGGAGGAGTCAGGGACTGACTGCTTCAACAACCTGGGCCCTGAAGCCCTGGGCTAAGATGCTCTCCTGGGGAACAGGGACACAGGGATATAGACACACAATACCTGTTCCCAAGGCACAAAATATCAGAGGATGACTGTTATGTGGGGGTAGTGAGTTTTCAGGCAGGTTTCTCCCTCAATTTTCCAAACCTTCTTAAAATATGTCAAGGAGAAAAGTGCTATCTAAAGAAAAGTGCTCTAAGGCTCCAAGGAAAAAGCACCCGACGCCACGAGAGGCGCAGAGCAGAAGCAGGGCCAGCAGAGGGAGGGTGGGGGCTCCGGCTGCTCCCAGGCTGGCTTGGCGCTCCAGCCGGATGTTCACACGGACAGCGCCAGGTACCTGCACGGGGCGCCTGACAGGCTTGGGCTCGGTCCTCACAAACCCTGTGAACTGGGATTCATGTTATTCCCGCTTCACAGGTCAGGACACCTGGTGCAGACAGCAAGTACTTTGTCCAAGGTGAAGAGTGGGAAGAGTAAAGCTGGGATCCAAACCCAGGTAACCTGGTTCTGGGGCCAGTGCTCTTAGCCAGAGTCTCTCCGGGTAAGAAGCTGGCCTCTGCCTCGGTTTCCCCTTTTCTACAACCATCATGTAATCAAGTAGGGATGCCACAACGCTCCTTCCAGAGGCCCCGTTATCCTATCTTCCAGTCACCCTGGAAGCTGGTGGAAGGCTCCGCGGGGCCTCCTCCTGGCCACTTCCAGCAGCCCAGGGCGCTTGGAGATGGTGCATCTGCTTCCACCACTGAACCTGAAATCCGGCCCCTCTCACGGGCGGGGCGGGGCGGGCAGGGCGGCGCACGCACCTGTACCGCTCCTCCTGCAGGCACTGGGTCATGTAGGTGTAGTCCCTCTGCAGCTGCGCCTTCAGGTCCTCCATCGAGTCCTCCAGGTGCGACTGGCCCTCCTTGATCTCCCGCAGCTCTTCCAGCACAGCGTCCACGTTGCCGGGGGCCCCGTACAGCGGGCCGGACTTGGGGCTCCCCGGCGCGGCAGCGGCGGGCCCGGCCCCCGAGTTGCTGCCCGCACCCGCCGAGCTGGCGCTGGCGCTGGAGCACTCGTCGTCGCTGGCGTACTTGGGGCTGGACACGAGCGTGGCGCTGCCGCTCAGCGCCCGGGCCGCCTCCTCGGGGGGCCCGTCGTCCAGCGGGTCCTTCAGGTGCGCGATGTTGTCGGCGCTGCCAAACTTGTTCCGGATGAGGCTGGCGAACTCGCGGGGCTTGGACACCACGGCGGAGTGCGTGGCCTGCGAGAGGCCCGAGAGGCTGCCCTTGACGCCCTCCACCACGCCGCCGCCGAAGCCGCTGATGCCCGCGCGCACGTTGGCGCCCACGTCCTTGAGGCCCTGCTGCATGTCCCGCAGCACGTCCTTGGGCTGACGCGACGGCCCGTTCTGCTCGATCTCCCGCAGGCGCCGGCGGTAGTGCTCCAGCTTCTTGTGCAGCTGGGCGATGGTCTGCGCCGACTTCTGGTTCTTCTTCTCGAATACCTGCTTGATGCGGGACGCCTGCTGCTTGTCGGCGTTGTTGGCCAGCTTCAGGTACTCCGCCACGTTGTCGTCCCGCGCCTCCTGCTCAATCTTGATCTGCTCCGTGATCTTCAGGATCTTCTGGTGCAGGTGCTCGATGGCCGCCTTGGTCCGCTGCGGGTCCGGGGCCCCGTCTGGCACGTCCAAGCTGATGGGGCCGTCGGCGTCACCATGGCTGGGGCCGCCGGCAAGGTTCAGGGCCACGAAGTCCCCCTTGTCGACCTGCGGAGGAAAGCAAGCAAAGGAAGCCACAGTCCATCAGGAAACTGAGGGAAGGGGCCCCGCAGGGGGCTCTCCAGGGTCCCCGGAGCCTCTGGACTTGGTTTCGCTGCCTGGAAAACGGATGCAGGATGAATGGGAAATTTTTAAGGAAGGAGTCCAAAAGAGTCCCAGCAGTGACAACAGAATCCCCTCCCGCTGCCATTTATGACAGGCGTGCACACCTGCCCCCTGCCTGATCCGCACAACATCCCTGCCGTGCAGTTAGGCAGACCTGCCCCTCCTTTGGCCCAGAGAGTTCAAGCAGGTTGGTTGGGGATAAACAGCTACAGGAAGATAGAACTGGAAGCCCAGGACTCTTGCTGCCCCATCACGTGGACCAAGCAGGTCCGAGGCTTCACCATTATTCCGGGTTATTTCTCAGGGAGCAGACACACCGTTCCTCTGGACTCAAGGGTCCATAAGTCTCCTTCTGGGAGCAGACCTCTCTCTCAGGCTGACCAGAGCCTCACTCGGGCCCACACAGGCCTCTCTCTCAGGCTGACCAGGCCTCTCCCTCAGGCTGACTGGAGCCTCACTCAGGCCCCACGCAGGCCTCTCTCTCAGGCTGACCAGAGCCTCACTCGGGGCCCACACAGGCCTCTTTCTCAGGCTGACCAGAGCCTCTCCCTCAGGCTGACTGGAGCCTCACTCAGGCCCCACGCAGGCCTCTCTCTCAGGCTGAGCAGAGCCTCACTCGGGGCCCACACAGGCCTCTTTCTCAGGCTGACCAGAGCCTCTCCGTCAGGCTGACTGGAGCCTCACTCAGGCCCCACGCAGGCCTCTCTCTCAGGCCGAGCAGAGCCTCCCTTGGGAAGCAACACCCACTCCCCCACGTGGCTTCCCGGGTGCAGCTCACAGGCCGCCCCAGCTCTGCCGACACCTCTCCCCGTCCGGCCGTTACCTTGCCACTCCCTGGAGTCGTCAGCGGCCTCTTGCGCTTCATGGTGGCGGGGGTACCTGGGCCTGCCCTGTCCCCCAGCACCAGGCGAGGAGCACCCCCCCACCTGCCAGTGGGGTCTCTGGGGCTCGGGTCCCAGAAGGCACCCACCGGCCGAGGGACGCAGGGCCCAGGCGAGGCGTCTGGGGACCGCTGCCGCCCAGTGTGGAAGGAGCTGAACGGGTGGCGGGGAGCGGACAGCGCCTTTTCTTCTCCGCAGGCGGGCTCCCTGGGTGCATCAGGGCAGCACAGAGAGGAGCCCAGAGGTGGAGACAAGATGGGGGGCGGGGAGCGAGGGGCAGGAAGGGGCACAGAGGATGGGCGAGGGGGAAGACAGGCTGGAGGGAAACAGGCCGGCCTGGAGCCCCACTCTCCAGGGCCGGACCCCCCTCGGCCTGCTGGAGGACCTCTGTCCACAGCCGAGTCCCCAAGTGTCTTATCACCATGCAGCAACGGAAGCAGCAGGAAATGGCTCAACCCCATGTATTTTTACACATAGCACACCCCAGGACAGCGGGCTGGGTCAGATCATTCGCTGTCTCTGTGTATGCTGTGGTGGGGGCAGGATGAGGTATACGTGGGGGAAGGGGTTAAACACAAAGAAAGTGGTCCCTCCAGCTCACGCGACGGAAGCAGCCCGCGCCAATACAGGCAGAAGTCACTGGGCTCCATTTCTCGCAAGGTACAAAGTTACTGGAAAACACCATGAAAAACAATAGCCCTGCCAAACTCAGGAGCCAGGGGAGGGTGGCTCCTCTGTGGGCTTCCCCTCCAGCCTTTCCAGGTCATGGTACCACTGGGGATGCTGGGAACAACACCCGTCCCTTCCCATCCCTCCTAAAGTCGGGACTTTCCTCCCACAGGAGCTTTGGATCTCCCTTCGTGTTCCCTTGTCCTCTGCCAGGTGCTGATATCTGCATGACTTTGTACACCAGAGGAGCCCACACCGGTCCCAAGGTCTACTCGCTGCATCAGACTTCAAACAGCACCCTGCAGTTAAACCCCTTCCACCTGTGCTGTTCCCGACAGTGATGGCAAACACACAGCCCCTGGGCTTTGCTGACCCTCGGTCTTCCCCCTGTAAAATGGGAACACTCATATCTCTTCTCAGGCCTCGGGTGAGGGGCATGCCACATGATATCCAAGGGCACTTGGCACACTGTGGGCACAGAGAGGCACTCATCTGTGCTGGCTGGCTCTGGCGGCACAACTTTGTGTGGTGGAGGAAATGAAGCTCATTTAAAAGATTATACCAAAAAATTCACTCATCATTGAAACTATGAGACAAAATTAAATTTTATATGCAACACAGCTTTCAACATTAACTCATTATTGATGGGGGGATTTTTGCAGAAACTAATGCCTGTGGCTGGCAATTTGCTGCATAGTGATATTGAAACCTCTCTGGTCAATAACGTTCGGGTAACAAAAGATGTTGAAAGTGTTAGTCACGCAGTTGTGTCCAACTCTTTGCAACCCCGCAGACTGTAGCCCGCCAGGCTCCTCTGTCCATGGAATTCTTCAGGCAAGAATACTGGAGAGGGTAGCAATTCCCTTCTCCCCAGGATCTTCCTGACCCAGGGATCAAACCCGGGTCTCCTGTATTGCAGGTAGATTCTTTACCATCTGAGCCACCAGGGAAGACACTATAGGCAAAGCTATGGTTTCTCCAGTAGTCATGTATGGATGTGAGAGTTGGACTATAAAGAAAGCTGAGCACCAAAGAATTGATGCTTTTGAACTGTGGTGTTGGAGAAGATTCTTGAGAGTCCCTTGGACTGCAAGGAGATCCAACCAGTTAATCCTAAAGGAAATTAATTCTGAATATTCACTTGAAGGACTGATGCTGAAGCTGAAACTCCACTACTTTGGCCAGCTGACGTGAAGAGCCGACTCATTAGAAAAGACCCTGTTGCTGGTAAAGATTCACGGCAGGAGGAGAAGGGGACGACAGAGGATGAGATGGTTGGATGGCATCACTGTCTCAGTGGACATGAGTTTGAGAAAATTTCCGGGAGACAGTGAAGGACAGGGAAGCCTGGTGTGCTGCAGTCCATGGGGTCTCAGAGTTACACACGATGTAGCGACTGAACAACAACAACCAAAGATTTTTCATACATCTCTTGTCAATAATGTGTTAAAGAACTTGACCCCTTTATAAGGCTGCTTTCCAAAGGTGCCTTCCAAAGAGACTCCACACCTTTCCTCTCTTCCGTTCTCTTCACAGGAAAAAGAACAACCAGAAGCCGTTGTGATCTGGCCACCTCACTGCCTGGCGCTCAGCTAGGCCCTGGACTTGCTTTATAACAAGGAGCACGCCAGTCCGCCCACTGGAGGAGTGTGGGAAGACCTAATGAGACAGGGACTCAAAAAGCCTGTGAAAAGCAGAAGTTCTTGGGATGACAAGGGAGTGTAAGACAGCAAATTGCCTGCCTGTCCTGGCTCCAGCCTGGCAGCTCTGAGCCTTTTACCCCCTCAATCTGGCAGCTGTCTAGCTTACAAGTAGAAAAGCAGAGTTGAAACTGGCTGTGAAATCCCTGTGAATGAGAGAACAGACATTGCAGGAAGCCATCAGGGCTTGGTGGTGAGCTCTTCCTCACCAGCCAGCCCTCTTCTCTGCTGTGGGGCCCAGACTCAAGCCTGGGGGTCCTGCAGCAGGGCTGCAGCTCCCTCCTGCCCCTCAACTGAAGTCTACAATGCCTGCAGCCTCTGATCACCTCAGGTTACAGAACACCCCATGTTCTTCCTCTGTCTCCCCCGAGGGAGGCAAGTAGGGAGTTCTCCACTCCCTCACATCCCCCAGCACGTCCCCGAAGCCTGCAACACCCTTTAAGAACTGAAGAAAAACAGGGTCACCAGGAAAAGAGAGCCAAGGAGGCTGCAGACAGACGGGCAGAGGTTCAAAGAGGGATTACGGTTTAACACAGGAAGGAAAATTAGAGCATTAGAAGAAAAAGATGAAAAAGCTGGGAAGAGGGATGCAACAAGCAGCCCTAGAGGAGAATGAGATTTGCCCACAAAAAATGAAGAAGAATCGCAGTGAGACAGGATACAGGGCCCATGAAGGCCACCAGAAAGGGTGGAAGTGGACATTGGCTAGAATGCTGTCCCTTACCAGCTGTTTGCCTTTGGATGTGTCATTGACTTTTCTGGGACTCGGCTTTCTCATCTAGAAAAAGAAGGGGTAATTCTACCCACCTCGACATATCATCGGGAGAATGGAATGAGACTGTGGGGACAATGACCACGGCACAGTCTTGGGGCACAGAGACAAATCACAGTCAACCGACAGTGCACACCCACAAGGACAGCTATAACTTAAAAAGGGAAATAACAAGTGTTGCCAAGGGTGTGCGGAAATCAGAACCTTCATACCTTGCCAGTAGGAAAGTAAGATGGTGCATCCACTGTGAAACACAGTTTGGAGGTTCCTCAGAAAGTTAAACACGGACTTATCACATGACCCAGCAACTCCTCTCCAAGGTATACCCACAGGGAACTGAAGGTGGGTATTTAAACAAGCGCTGGTGCACACTTGTTCGCAGCAGCACTATTTACAATAGCCAAAGGGTGGTGGACACAAGTCAAGTGTCCACTGATCACTGGTAAGCAAAGCTAGTACAGTCACACAATGGAATATTACTTGATTATACAAAGAATGAAGGACTGATAGGTGCCACAACACGGATGAACCTCAAGAACACTCAGTAAAAGGAAATAGATACTAAGGGTCATGTTTCTTTTATATGAAATGTCAGAATAGTTAAATTCTTAGGGACAGAAGGCAGATTAATGGCTGCCAGGGGCTGGGGAAGGGAGAAATGGGGAGTGACTGCTTAACGGGTCGGGGTTCCCTCTGGGGATGATGAAAATGCTCTGGCACTACACAGAGGTGACGGGGTGGCCCAGCCTGGGGGGTACGAGGCTGGGTCCTCACCGTGCCAGCCTGTGCTGCAGGTCCAGCCCATGTCCTGTTACAGAGCGGGTGGCAGGAGGGTGTCTGGGTCCTTCCTCTTACAGCCAC